GTGGCATCGTTTGCGTGGACCCCGACACAACAACCTGTTTAATGTGACAAGCTGTGCATTGTCCTTACTCTGATTGTTCTTCCCTTCACGTTAGGGGAGGGATCTTTTCGCGCTGGGGAGATGACCATGTGTGTGTACTCTCAATACCGTTCTAAACTACAAGGCGGGCAACCGGAATAATTTCCCCCAACCATTGTCACCCCATCCAGAAGGCTCGAACAATGCCGGATCCTCTTCAAGATCGAGATTACGGGTGTGATGGAACTTAAGGAAGACGGACGATTCTTCCTCAAGGTACGACCGAAATACTTTTTCACCGTTTCTCTCCGGATAAAGCGGGTAGCAACGCAACGAATCGACAGTCTCTACTCCCACGTGTGACGCATTGTGGGACCCCTACGCTGTGACCGTGCTGTGCTCGTGAATTGTTCAAACTTTTACAGACCACGGATATAAACTTGCCTCATAAGTTCCGCGTAACCAAGGATGACGGCAGAAGAATTGAAGTCTTCCTTGCAAGTGTCAACGCTCTCGGGCCCCCCCGTCACACACAATCCTGCGCCGGAGGACCCAAATGCAGGAACTGAGGAACGATATCCTCACGTCGTTGAGGCGTCGTAAGAAATCATGTCGCTCGCATCGGAGAAAATGACACCGAAATGTCATTCAACCTCATCTTACGAGTAGATTGACAATGGCATTCGCTGCTGGGTAGTGTTAGAATTGCTTGTACAATATTCAACGACCACTTTGTTCGATTGCATGGGGTTTGATGTGGTACTGTGAAGGCGTACTGGGAAGGTGTTGACAAGTCTGTAACCGTCAGGTCAAGACAACTTAGGCGTCTGTGTGGAAAATTATGAACTCTGTGTTTGATATACCTAAACCAAAACCGCCGTAGTACTGTGGTGTGGCAGTTGAAGCCACACTCTGTAGTCTAATGTACGTAATCTACAGGAAAAGCGACAAATTCGATAGGAAGGGTCGCGTCGCTAGTGGAAGGAGACGAGACGGGGCTGCAGGAGCTGGATGACATGGTATCTCGATCGGTGTATATGTTTACTATATTCTTTTCACCCTATCGCCCATGCATAGCTAGCTCGCCATGTTTGTTTTGTTTTTGTTTTTCTCCCATCATTGGACTCTGTCGTCTGCCCCTCTGGCCCCTATCCTCCACTTCTACTAGCTAGACGACCCAACCGGGGTACAAAGGAGGGGGGGGTTGGACCCCCTCCTGCGGTTCATGCCTGAGGTATTTTTATCGCGAGAAGGGTACAGCAATCCCTTCCCTCGCGACTTACGAAGTCGATTATTATGGTTTGCTAACAAACAAGCTTGGAGCGCGTCGCTTTCATCCCAGACCAGGATTTATTTAGTGAGAAAAAAACTCTCTCTGCCGGGACTCGAACCCATGACCTGGCCCTTAGCAGGCTGCGAGGCTACCCACTAGACCACCGTCCGGATTTTGTGAGTCGATTGTGGTGGATATGAAGCTGTTATATTCCTGAGTTCGACCCTTTGTCTGAAGCGGATATCCGCGCAGTTCGGGCTGCCTCCTACACCTTGGCCCCTTCACGCCCGCATCCAAACGGGACAAAAGGGTCTTTGAATGTGCGACGGGTAAGCTTTCGACGCCACCTTCGGAATGGGGCTGCGAAACTCCGGGCAGAGCGTTCGTCTTTCCTTCGTACCATTGAACCTAAGACCAAGGTCACCATTGACATCATTTCGGAAACATGTAGGCGATTCGATTTCCCCAGCAATATATTTCCAAGATTTTTGCAACACACAGTGTAGTCCAACCTGGTCTCGGGACACCTGCGATCCTTGAAGACATGTAGAGGTTGTCCTTGATGGTTGAGCCCGCGCTTTTCACCATGTGGTGGAACACCGTACAATATTCAGGCGGCTGGTCGGGATCACTTCTCGCGTAGAACTACACACCAAGAGAACAGCGACAATACAACAGGATCTTCAACAAGGATAATGAGGGCGTGTTACGCCCATGGCACCAACCTTGTAAATCACGAGGCTGTGTATGCTACACAGGGTGCTGCCTACCGTATTCATTCCCCGTTTCCTCGTGATCGCTTAACTCACACAGCCCTCACGGCCAAGGGTCTGTTTGCAGGTATGCGTAGCACAAAGGAAAATTGGACGCCCTACGTCGACCTGTACGTGAGCGGTTGTCGCAGCCTTACACAGGCTGAAGTAGGTACACAGCGATGCATTGACGATGAACAACATATTCGCCTGATTGAGAGCGAAGTATCTGATTGAGAGCGAGATTGCGCGATACGCTGTAGCCGGACTACCACTGAGAGGTGGAGCTTGCTGTGTAGCTTGAATTGAAGGGCTAGCCCGTAGCTTAAAGCCGCTACCCTGGTCATCCTGTGGGAGTCTCTCGTTGTGGAGCTACAGCGGGGAGCAGAAGCTACAGCAGAGCCCACCGCCCGACGCGATACCGCCCTGAAACAGTTTGAGCAGAAATAGCCAATCTGGGCAAATCTAGCAACTTGTCTAGCTCCTCGCTGCAGCATCCGATGACGATGACACGCATATGCTCGCGAAGCTGCTGATGAGACCTTCAATTTGCACCGCTTCTTGGAATAGCCCGTCCCCTACTTGCCAAGAAATGGCAAGAGGCGTCTGGACCCGAAATTTCAATTTTTTTGGCTCTCGCTCTCAATCAGATGCTACGCTCTCAATCAGGCGAATATGTTGTTGATGGTTGACGCAAATTAACAATCGAACTCGCAAACATGCAGAGTGGGCAGACCGTTGCGAACCTGCACGTACAGTCCGGCACGCGTCGTGTTCACAGTTGAGGGTGCTGAAGAATTTTGTCTGAACGTCACAGTTGCCCATTCGGTGTCTTCAAGGCGATCACTGGTCGTGCTTGTAATTTGTTCATTCATGATCGGTTCTATTGTGTCGGTTCTTTACCAGACATCTTTCACTTCCGAGCAGGGCACGCATGCTGAAGCAACGGAGAGGGTGGTACGCTCCGTCTCATGGGCAGGCGTGTACCGTAGTATTCCCGAACCTTACCGTATCACTCTCAACTATGATCGTGGAAAGAATGGTGACCAACCGGGCGACACGCAAGATCGCCTTCATGTACGGCGGCATCGCTCCTCCTCCACCAGATCGATGCCCTGGCTCCAGACGGGTTTCTCACTTGTCATGAAGCACACAAACAATCGCCGACGGAGAGTTCAGCTAAGCGTCTCATCCCAAGAGCGGATCTCGTGGACGAACCCCAATTCGAAAACGAGAAATTGATATTCTGCCGCATTGCTGTGTTCTATCACGAAAAGTGGGTCAAGTGCGATCTGTAGCAGATTTACGTTTAGAGCACAAAACCGGTCGCCCCGGTGGTCTAGTGGTATCCTCGTAATGCGCTAGTCGCAGAGGTCATGAGTTCGAATCCCCGTGGGGTGAAAAATTTACGAAATGTGCAGGTGAAAGCGAAAAATAGCTGAAAATGGTCTCGTGTGTACCAAACTTCGACGTTAGCACCGTTGACGAGGGAAAGGGACGACTGGACCCCTCTCGCGATAGGATGAAGGTGCGGCATGAAAAGAAATATACAGAAGAAAAAAAACCTGGTGTTTACCCCCTCCAATGTGACCCTGAATGGTTGTAGTTGTGCGAAAAATACACTGAAAAGTGTCTACTAGAAGTATATAATAGTCCTCTACACACGCTGAAAAATGTGGTACACGTCTCACCACGAAAAATGGGGGGACAGTCGCCATAAAAAATAGGACGAAAACACACACACAGCTAGTGCTTCCTGGATCGCTGGAATCTGCAGACAGGCCTTGCTACACTTGAATACGAGCTTAAGGACCTGTACTTGGGGAATGAGTTTCTGATCGATACGTTTGTTTTTTCAGCGCGCAGTGCGGGATGGGAGATGTGCTGCCGAACAGTGCAAGTGAACGCACACGCCCTGTCATTCCTCTGATCCTCAAAGCTTGATTAATCGGAATTTGAGAGGTGTGACCAACCGAAAAAAAAGCAAGGAAAGATTTCATCGTTCCCTTTGGAACGCGCATTTTCCGGTGGTGGCAGAATCTTGGAGGGAAGCCATGTTCAGCACCGGTGGGCTCGACCGACTTTCGTGGGAAGTCACATGGATCTCCATGGAGTACGAACCTACTTCATGGAATCTCCACACCCAGTTTTTCGAGAGCGTTGGTGTTTGCCTGTTGGTTCGGGAGGAATGGGGTCATGCATGTCGGCGTTGGGGGTTAGGGATCCGTCGAGCTTTTGGCTATGAATCCTGATGCAGATGCGAGTTTATCCAGAGGGTACACCGCCCTGTTGAGAGTCGGGCCTGGAACGACGTCGACTGACGAAGACGCTCAGGCGAAGGAGGAGATAAGGAGGGAGACTCAGTTATGTATATAGATGTGCTGAGAAAACTGTCATGAAACATGCCTACATCGGCCTACTGGTCATCCCACGCCCTTTTCCTAAGCCTGGAGCACTCGTGCCTTAACGTTGGTCAAAAATACCTTTGGATGCGCGGTCACACAATCAGGCCTTGTCCGGCTGAACCAAGGGGCTACTGACGTCGGTCTTTTTACTTCGACTCAGTTCAAATTAATACCGTAAGGTAGCGAGTCACCGCACGGTCCGAAAGAGCACCATGGATAGCATCACTAACCATGTTACTTTCGCTCCCAAGCACTAACTTAGCATCGACAGGGCTAATTGCTGTGGTTGACTGATTTGAGCGCGTGTGTCTACGTTGCTTGTGGAGCCTGCATCCGCAGCACAACTGAGGTGTCCGTGTGTCTGCAAAGCATTTTCGAGTATCGTGTTTGGGGAGCTCGGCAGAGTATACTGTCTACGGGGCCTCCGGGGGGTACGCGGATGCAATGTATTGACAGACATGCTGCATGGCGATGGTGTGGCCTACCGCATGTCTCTTACTCTCGAAGCAACAAGGTCTTGAGTCAACCTTCTTTCTCTTTCGGCCTCTGACGAGCTACCGCACCCAAACACAATATATTGTAAGGCCTGGTGTTGGTAGTGGGTATTGGCGTCTGAGCGGTGGGAGCTGGGCCATCGGGGCAGCGGACACCATTTTCATAGCTGGGATCGCGGCCAAAGGGGGCGAGGACAGCAGTGCATAGCTGGTGCGGTGGCCATTGCGGGGACCGGGTCAGCAGGGTTTATAACTGGGACAGCACTTCGAGGCTGGGACAGCAGGGAGGGTTTAGAGTTTTAGTTTGGTATGTCTGGAACGGAGGAGGACGCAACTCTGAGCGCGAGGTTGGATAAGGCGCTACGAGCTATAGAGGAGGCCAAGGCTGAGACGAATGAGGCCAAAGCTGAGGCGGAGGAGCTTAGGGCAGCACAGCGGCGGTCTGCGGGTGCACCTGCCGGCAGCAGCTCAGGAGGCGACGGTCTAGTTGCTCCTGGAGGGGCTTCATCTGCACCGGTGAGGCCAATGTGGCCAGGCGGGGTGAGTCATGATGGCGGTACTGGGGTGCCGGGCTTGCCTCTGGGAGGTACAATTGTCAGAACTCCTGTGCCTAGAATCCCGCCTAATTGCACCGCCGACACTTTTCTCAGTTGGCGGAGACGCTTTCTGGCCTACGTGGACAACCACAATCTCCAGCACACAATCTTCGGCAGTGCTGAGGTTCCCGTTGTCAGTTGTCAGGATGAAGGATACTTGACACGCCAGTATGGTGCACAGCTGGTTGTTGAGCACAAGAGGACATGGAGTTTTATCTTGGAGGCAGCGGTGGGGGCCCCATTTGAGAACAACCTGTACTCTTGCCATTCCGTGGCAGAGGCGTGGAGGATGATGGAGGATTGGTATTTGCCGAACCACCCAGCTGATTGTCAGCTCCTCGTCGCCGAGCTAGATAATATAACCATGAGTGATGATGAGGACCCCAAGCTTTTCTTCTCGCGCGTCGCACAACTGGAGACCAAGTTACGGGCTGTGGGCATTGCTAAGAGTGACCAGGAAGTTGTGCAGATCCTTGTGCGCCAACTCCCCGCACGCTACGATGTCGAGAAGCGCACTAGTCTTTCCAAGCGTGATTTAACCCGCGCTGAGTTGCAGGACGTCGTGCGTGGTCGATATGCCACGCTCAAGGCCAGCGAGATGAGGGAGCGAGGGTCGGTAGCTTCGACGCCGGCGGTTTTTGTCAACCCCCATGCTCTTGTTGTGGGCCGTGGTTTTGGACACGGCGGCAACGGGGGGAGCGGGGGGGGCGGAGGCCAACGGCGGAATGGCAACAACTGCGACGGCCGCGGGCAACACTGGTCCTCTGGGGGCGGTGTTGTCCAACAGCAACAGCCGCAGTTGCAGGTGCAGCAATACCGGCAGCCGCAACAGCCGCAGCGACACATGCAACAGCCGAACCAACAGCCGCAGCGGCAGGTGCAACAGTCGTACCCACAGCCGCAGCAGCAGATGCGACAGCAGCAGCCGTATCAACAGCAGTCGCAGATGCAGCCGTACCGGCAGTCGCAGCAGCAGCCGCAGCAGCAGCGGCAGCTGCAACAGCCCGCTTTGAACGGTGTTGGTGGCGTCTACGATTGCGGTAGTAATGCCGTGAGTCATCAGCCGGAATCACTTCCTCCACCTGGCACGCCGATGGGCACAGTGCACAGATGCGGCCGCTGTGGAAGGCACGGTCACCACGCCATAGATTGCGCCGCCCCCCGCAGGTTCGAGGGCACGTGCGGTGCATGCGGCCAGTACGGTCACATGTGGCGCAACTGTGCCAAGAGCAACCGGCACCCCCACCTCAACGTCGTCACTTCTGCTGGTGCCCTCGGTCCGGAGTACGCGTACACCGCCGCGGATACATCGGCCGTCCAATTTCGTGATGTCCCGGCGGCCGATGGCGTATACTACAGTGACACCATGCTGGCCGGCGCTGGTGGCGGCGGCAACGGTGGTGGTGGTGCTGGCGGTGGTGGCAGCGGCGGTGACAATGGCGGTGGTGGCGGTGGAGCGATCGTACAGCAGCAGGTAGTGACACCGGGCGAGCCCTACTTTGGTTTTGTCGACATTTTCCACGGCAGCGGTGGCGTGGAAGGTGAAAATGGCGGCGGCAGCGGTGGTAGTGACGCGGCGGGAGCGGGCCCTGAGGCGCTTGGCAACGGCGAGGGTACCTTCGGTGGCGGTCTCTTCGCGATGCACCTTGTCTGTTCCGTTACCTCATCCCCCCCCGTGCGCGAACCATCCGACCTTTTCCCACATCGCCCGGGTTCGACGGTCTTCCTTGGAGACACCGGCGCCGTGGTCCACGTGGTCCCTTCTGGGGAAAAGGTGTACAACAGGCGCCCGCCGCTCCCGGAGGAGCGACTGCTCATGCTTGGCGACGGTAAGCACATCCCGGTAGAGTTTTTCGGTGACTTGGATGTGATCTTCCACTGCCCTGAGGACGTGCGCGTCACCCTGCAGAATGTTGGTGTGGTACCGGGTTTGGCGCTAGATATTCTGTCGCTGAACAAGATCCAGGATCGCCATGAGATCAAGCTCAACCGGCATGGTGCATCGATCTTGGGGGGGCGAGTGCGCATGACAAAATTCCCTCACGGGAATTACATCCAGGGGACTCGCGTTGATCCACTGCCTCAACGCGACTCACCTCCTCAGCCCCCCGCGATGGTTGCGGCGATGCTACGGCCTGGCACGCAATCCAGCATCGACTACAACGCTCTTCACTGCTCCCGCGGTCATGCCAATCCCAAGACGCTGTACGAGACTGCCAAGCAGATGGGTATCAAGGCGACCGGCATTCCGGAGTACTGCGATGGATGTGCGGAGTCGAAGGCGATTCAGCGCTCGGTCCCCAAGGTCATCTCCCCCTCCCGCCGGACGACGCGGCCTCTTGAGCGTGTCGCGATGGACCTAGCCGGTCCGTTCGGCCAATCCAGCGGCGGTGCCAAGTACGTGATGCAGATCCTGGACCACCATACCAACTACGGATGGATTTGCTTTCTGCGGGAGAAGAGCAGTACAAACGTGGTTGCGGCCTTTCGTGCGTGGTATGCCTCCATCAAATCGCTCTTGGCTACTCACGGGGGGCTGGGCTGTGTTCTGACCGACAACGGCACGGAGTGGGTCAACGCGGAGTTTCGGGGGTTGCTGGCGGAGCTGAACATTATGCGGGAGCTCACGGCGGTCGACGGGCCCAAGAGCAACTGTCGCGTGGAGCGGAGGATTGCACTAGTGATGGTGGGGGGCAAGGCTGCGTTTCTGGACTTCCCGAAGCTTTTCCCAGGAGTAACGTTCCGGACCAAGGCACTGTCCTTCCGGGCCATCTGGCCCGAGGCCTTCGCGTGGATGAATGACACTCTGAACATCGCAGCGGAGGTGAGCAAGGAAGGCAAGCGGTGCCCGGAAGTTAAGCTGTACGGCAGGAGGAGGATCCGAGTGCTTCTGCCGTTCATGATGCCCGGCTTCCGTCACCGTCACCGACCGTCCAAGATGCACAGCAAGGGGGAGCGGTGCTTCTATCTGAACTCAGGCGGATCATTCCTCGACGACGCACAAGATCATCACGCCGGCTGGGGTGCCCACCTACTCCGAACACTGCACCTTCGGCTTCAGCAGCCAGGGCTTTCGAGGAGATGGGCGTTCTTGGGGGTCGGAAGGGGGGATGGCCGGAGGCCCCGCGGTGGCGGCCGGAGCGGCAGCATCGGCGGCAGCTCCAGCGGCGACNTCCGCGGCGGTTATCGACGAATACAAACATCTCGAGTCCCCTAAACAAAGGTGCGCGAAAACATCTCTGCGTGATATTCTAACTCGTTCATACTTCGACCTTGTGCTTACGAGCCCCGCGGGGCGGGGACGCCGTTCTCATCTACCGAAGGCGAGAGCTAGGATCACTTCTTCTTCAACCCCCCCATGTCATGACCAACAATACGGATACGTAGCATATCAAGAGCTTCCCGACCCGCGAAAGATATGCGTGAAACGTTGTCACTACTGTAAAAGCCCACAGTGTCTGCAAGTAGACGGCATTGCTGTACCGCTCAAGCGGGACTCGATGGATCACGAAAGTTTCTCGCCCGACGTCGCGTTCCAACCAAGCCCATACGGCAAGGTACCATCGTGAAAAGGGCACTAACCGGCAACTCTCCTATGTGCAGATGCTGGAGTAGGGAGCTACAAGATTCATGATCTCCCGGCACAAATATGAAAAGGAGAACATTCGACAACAAGCGCTGAAACCAGAGAAGGACCCCAACAGTACAGATATGGCAGCAACCAAGGAAGCGAGAGGGGGGCGGCAGACGGACGAGGCGGCGAGAGGAGAAAGTGTAGTAGAGAAAGGTCGCGTGAACCGATAAAGACCGTATTGAACTCCTTCGCTGATGCCCGCCGCCCCTCCCCGTGATTGCACCATTGCATCAACCCCCCCCAAGGGACAGCATGCCTTGGCGCTTGATGGTGGCCCTGATTGTGTCTGTTTGCTTGTGTATTGGCGTTTTAATGTTGTCTGTGACTGTGTGCCTGTATTATATTTTCTGCGTCGTTTGGTTCCTGGTTTTTCTTTTGTTTCTGTGTTTTGCTGTGGCTTTTTCGTCCTTTTCGTTTTCTCCCCGGATGGTCTTTTCTCTCGTTCTCTCTCTCTCTCTTTCTCTCTCTCTCTCTCTCTCTCTCTCTCTCTCTCTCTCTGTGAAGTGCCAAGATTGAACCAGCGGATGTACCTCTTTCTCTGCTGGTCACGTTGAATTCCAGATTTCCTGTCTAACGTAGTGTGTGTAGAGAGAGGAGCGTAGGGCCCCCGACTCTCTGTCGTTGGTAGCAATTGCAGAGCCTTAGGGTCAGTCACGTTTGACTTTAACTTTTTTCATTTACTGGAGTTTGCGTGCGACCACGGGAATTGCTCTATGAGCGTTTGACCAGTGCGGACAAACGAAGGTACTGGGTAGGGAAGTCGGTTTTGGATGTGAAGATGACATGAGTCTGTAGACAGTCTGTGATGTCTGACACGGCTGAAGGGGGGCAATGAGGGGAGCTCAGGATTGGCGCCGGTAAATGGACTTTCATCTTTGGCTACAGCTGTAGTCTGGTATCGTACTATGTACTGGCAGGATGGTCGACGTGTCGTCACACATTTCTTACTTTAGTTGTTGTTGTTGATGTGTTCACACAAAAAACCGTTCCGATCTCTCTTTACCCAGTGCCTTCGTATATCCGTACTGATCCAGCACTCGACGCGGTCGATTCCCGTCGTCACAGGTTAACTTACCCTGAATAGGTACATTCAAAAAAACTGGCCCCGAGGGGTCCGCAAGTCAATAGAAATCAACGGCAGATATTCTGGAGTCCTCCACTCCCTCTGCGCGCTATGCGAGGTAACAACTGAGACAAGACGTCCCCATCACAGGCCGGAGCAAAGGGATGCACCCCCTTGGTTCAATCATGGTACGTCACAACGCATGCAGAGACAAGGCTATCTGGCACAGGAAAAGAGACAAAAAAGGAAAACAGCAAGGAAAGAGGAACAAAATGGACGAGAGCGAGGACAAAAAGGGACCAGGCCGAAAATGACAAGAAATGAGAGACAGAAAAAGGCACACGGTGGAGAGACCACTAACGAAGAAGCAAACACGCAAACATGGCCACCAACCAGCGATACATTGTAATGGTACGTCATCACTTGTGGGGGGGTTGGTACAATGGTGCAGCGTTGGGGGGGGGGACTTGGCGAAAAGAAGTTCAATCCGGCATGTATCGCGCCACACGGTCCGTCTCTTCTCATTTGCTTTCTTCCCTCGCCGCCTCGTTCGTCTCCTGCCTCCCTCACGCCCCATTGGTTGTTGACTTGTGGTTTCGTTTGAGCGCCCGTTGTCGGCTGGCCTCTTCTTCCTTCTCGTGCCAGGCGGTCATGAATCTCTCAGCTCCCTGCAGCACCACCGCATGCCAAGGTACTCCCCCCTCCACTTTCGCGTCTTCCGTCCACATTAACTTCGGGGCCGTACCTTTCGGTACAGGGATTCCGAGACAACATGGATCGGTTTTCGTAGATCCGTGGTCGGCCCCGAATGCCTTCAGGTCGTCGAGCACACACTTCGGCCAATTCTGCTCCTGTCCCCCCCTACGTCGCTTCTCCCCCCCCAACAGCTCGCCGAGCATCAGTCGTTTCGGGAGTCGCCCGTCCGGCTGCCTTGCCAATGCTCCCGCGAACAGTAGGCCTCGTTGTCGGATCGAAGCTTCAACGCTCTAGCCATCGACCGCCTTCGGCGTCTGGGGGTAAGAGAGCTGCCGGTAGGTATCTTTCTTGCGCTTGTACCCGATGACTCGGAGGAGCAGTCATTGGTGTATCGACCGCAGCGTCTGATAGTGGCCGCTGAGTGGTCGCCATGTGATGCAGCCGTACAGCAGTGCCTCCGTCGCCTCCGCCTGGAGCGGGCGGATCTTAAGTCGGAATGGCGCTTTCGGTCTGTCGAAGAGCTCCCGGTCATATCGCCTGAGGCACGCCCACGCTCCTCTCCGCCTGTAGTTGATCTCCCAGGTGAGGTCGCCAGTTCGTTGACGAGGCCACCGAGGTACCGGAACTCGGTCGTCTGGGCGTATTCCTGTCCCGCGGCTTCGATGGTCAGCGGTGGAGGCGGGCGGGCCGTGATGTTGTAGTCGGCTTGTCCTTCGCGCGCATCAGAAACGTCTTCGTCTTTTTGTATCTATACTGGCAGACCGATGCAAGCCAGACGTACAACATGTGGTTGCCCGTCTTGACAGACCCTTGGGGATGCCTGAGGTATCTAAACCCTTTGTCGTTGTACAATTATTAGTTGTGCTTCCTCTTCCTGTCCTGCATTCCTGCGAACACATGATTTGAGACCCACCCACAATGCCTGCATCGTACACCAGTTGCCCGTGTCGATACACCCTTCGGCGTGCTACAGCACATTGATTTTTTCTTCTATGCTTTGGACTGCTGTCCCATCTTATGTCGTGACGTACCACTGGATGAATCTTTCCTAGGCCTTCTCTTCCTCTGGTGGCGGTTTCATTGCCTTTTCGGTGCCTCAAACTTTTCATTTTTTTTTGTTTTGTTCATTTCCATTGTCGTGCATGCCGAATCATATATCTTTTTTGGCAGACCGTTGCAAGCCAGACGTATGACATGTGATTGCCCGTGTTGATAGACCCTTGGGGGTCCCGGAGGTATCTTAGCCCTTTGTCTATGTCCAATAAGTTTTTCTCTTTCTCTCCCATTCGTGGGAATATGAGTTGTGGCCCGCCTACAATGGTTGCGTCTTATACCAGTTGCCCGTGTTCACAGACCCTTGGGGGTGTCGGAGGTATCTAAGCCCTTTGTCTTTGTCTGTACTTGCATCTTACACCAATTGCCAGTCTTACCAAACACTTCAAAGTGCCAGAAGTATCATACGTCCTTGTCTTGGTCTGTTGACCAATCATACACCACTTGCCCGTGTTGAGAGACTCTTCCGAGTGCCGGGGTATCGTAAGCTTCTCTGTCTGTGCATACATTTTTCACCAGAGGTATCACTACCAAGAATATCGTAACTCCTCTTTGTCCGTACATGCATTTTTCACCACATACATGCCCCTCTTTCCCAGACCCTTTCAGTCAGAGGGATATCATACGTCCTCGTCTTTGTGAACCCATCTCTCACCAGTTGCCCGTATTCACATAGCCTTTAAAATGCCAGAAAACAACTGACAATATGTGTTCTGCGGGACCACTCCTCCAGGGTATCAGCACCGAACCTGGGCCCATTCAGTACGCCAGCGTATCTATTGGAGTATATCACCGGCAACATCCATGGCTATCTCTCAGCTTCAGGCGCTGGCAAAATTCCGTGGGATGCTAGACTTTATCCTCCACCCGTCTTTTCCTGACACGAGAGGCAAACCTGTCGAAGATGAGAGGCTGCAGAAGGTGACGGAGTGGGTGTCCAAGCNCTCTTTGTCCGTACATGCATTTTTCACCACATACATGCCCCTCTTTCCCAGACCCTTTCAGTCAGAGGGATATCATACGTCCTCGTCTTTGTGAACCCATCTCTCACCAGTTGCCCGTATTCACATAGCCTTTAAAATGCCAGAAAACAACTGACAATATGTGTTCTGCGGGACCACTCCTCCAGGGTATCAGCACCGAACCTGGGCCCATTCAGTACGCCAGCGTATCTATTGGAGTATATCACCGGCAACATCCATGGCTATCTCTCAGCTTCAGGCGCTGGCAAAATTCCGTGGGATGCTAGACTTTATCCTCCACCCGTCTTTTCCTGACACGAGAGGCAAACCTGTCGAAGATGAGAGGCTGCAGAAGGTGACGGAGTGGGTGTCCAAGCAGGAAGATCCCATTGAGGGCGAACTGCTGCCAGATGCATACCGGGTGTGTGCGTATGGTCGGGTCCATGATTGATGCTTCATGCGCAATGATCGACGAAAGTTATTTTTTTCACCAGACTGCAAACGGACCGCGAACGGACTGCAAAACCGCCCTGCAAATCATCTGCACGACGTTGTTGTATGGAGATGGGGTAGCAGCCTCGTATCGGAGGAATTGAATTGTGATGTACTCTTAGCAGCATGGTCATTTCCATCTTGTAGGTAGATATTTTTGTGCTCTGTTGTGCCATTCGTGCTCCATACGTGTTACTGCTTTCATGCGAGGAGTAGACAGGGTATATGCAGGCATTCACAAAAACGGAGATAAAAGCTAAAAGAAGGGAAAGAGAGATAATGACGAAAGCGACAGCAGTACAGATGTGGAGATGGGATCGGACAAGAAGGGAAGGCGAAGTTCGAAAGCCGTAGCCGGAGGGCGATACAAGGAAAGGGGTGATGATGAGGAAAGCGACAGTAGTACAGACGCGTATATTCAATCAGATGATAAGTGTAGGCGGGGTCCTAACGCCGGAGGCGGAGGACGATCCAGGGGGAAGAGAGATGATGAGGGAAGCGACGGCGGTCCAGATGGGGGCAATGACCCGGAGAGCGAGTACGGCGAAGGAAGCGGGGGTGGTTCGGGCAGTAACAACAGTGACGCCTCGCGGGAGACGAGAGAAAGGCGGCAAAAACAACGGAAGCGCCACATACGGCGAAGAAAGGTAGGCGGAAAGAAGGGCTGGGGTGAACGGCCTGTGTTGGAATGAAGAAATCGTTGGATCAATCGTCACCATCGACAGTCCGTTTTCCCCCTCGATGTCTTTGTCGCCGCGGTTTAGGGCGCAAGGAAGGGAGACGGCGCGAATCGAGTTGACCGGGGGGAAGCGGGAGGGATTGCCGAAGTGGGACGTTCCTTTGATGTGCTCGGTTCTCCTCAAGAGACTTGCGATGCTGTGTTCGACACACTACTCAAAGACCTCGGGGCTGAGGGGCACCAAACTCTCGTTGTTAACGGATAAAATAGGTGAGAGCTCTGTGCACCCTTGTGAATTGGAATTTCTGCTCTCCCTTCGTGCCCGCCGTAGATGTATCGGCACGATGACCTCGCACCGGCCCGTAATCAATTGAGTGCGCTCGTGTCGTTTGCCTCTTGATGCAGACGGCCAACAAATCGCGACACAATCTCTGTGAAGTTAATTTGTGCGCATTCGGGAAGCGTACGCAAGAAAGATAAAGATAAACAAAAGGCCAACCCTAGGAAGAGAACGTCGCAGAAGGTGAATTGTGTTGAACAATCGGCAGCCTGATCCCAGTTGCTCGACATGCTCGACGTTTGTTGTTGTTTCTCACATTAGCTCTAAAAAAAGAAAGACTGGGAGCCCGTGGTCTCAAAACCCGGCATACACGACCCCACGAAGAAACAGAAAAAAATAGGGTACAAAAACCACTCGGAAGAGAAACAAAATGATAGAAAGAAAGACCAGCTACCGCACCAAACGAGAAAGAGCGTCGAGG